AATGAATGTCTTAATTAAAATCAAGCGTAGAACACAAATAAACATGACAAGACAAATAACTGAAAAACGACACACGATTCGCACACACCACCCCTAGGGTACGCCTCACTGTTGCCTTTCGAAAGGTGATCGTCGAGTAGAGGACGTCTTAGTAAGTCCTCATGATCCGGGAACCTGGCATGAGGGTAGCTTCTAAGGTGTCTTCCCATTGCTCTGGTGATCACCATGTCCCGAACCTCGAATTGACCCGAACACCTCCAACGGTGGTGCTACCTACCTCTCAATGGTGGGATGGCACTACTTCAAGGACATTTACACAGACAAATTCCTTAGGGTAGGTAGGTTCTCAAGGATACTTGCTCTAATCTCAAAACAAACTCAAAAAGACTTTTCACACTGACACCTTTCAAAAGCTTTCAAAGCAAATTTTTTCAAACACTCTGACGTACGAGTCGATCTGAAATTTTTCAAAGAAACTTTTTAACCCACATTGAAAAGCAAACAAACAATTTTGAAAACACATTGAGCAAGTATCTAAGAGCCCATGGATAACCATGGATAGAAAGGGTGCTAACACCTTCCCTTTCTATAACCTACCTCCCGAACCGAGAGCAATCTCTTTAAAGGAATTTTTCTGTGCTTTTGTCCTTTCCATTTGGAGAAAATAAAAGACGGTGGCGACTCTTGCTTCCGCGACATTTCGCGAACCAGCGTTAAACAGTCAGTTCCAGATCCACCGATCACAATGATGAACAAGAAAAGGTGTGAGGTAAAGATGTAAATTATGTGTACTTGAATTTCTATCAGCTCATTATTGTGCTTTCTCTTATATTGTTATGATATCTCACCTCTTCTGTTTGAATGTTGCCTCTACATGGGTAACATGTAGATGATCCGAAGTAGCTCGAGGCCGAGGTCAGCTGGAGAGTTCCTTCAGTTTTGCATAGATTAAGTCGGTGTCTGCTCTGATATGTAACACTTGGGGGTTTCACGTTTGTTTTATTTAATTGGAAGTGAACTTTTCACTATTCCATTGTTTGAGTTTAATTTATGACTATGGTGAATTTTGAAAGATGATAATTATGACTCTGGTTGGAGAATTGAGATGATTTTTATTGATGTTTTTCCACTGCGAATAAATGAAAGGAAGATTGAGACTTTTGAACATATGAATTGTGTTGTGTATCTTAATTAATGATCATGTATGATGTATGAAGCATGTGACATCCTATTTTGATGTTGTATTTTAGAAATTAATTTACTCTAATTTTTATATAATTTACCGACGGGAAAATAGGGTTTTACAGGACCGACCTAAGGGGATGATACTTGCAAATACCTAATGCTCGAGTCAATGACTATTTGAGGTAGAAATAAATTTTCTAGGTTAAAAGAGTGTGCACTTGAATTTGATTTTTATTTCCCCTATAAAGGTTGATTTTATGATTTTTCTGGGCCTAATGAGCTATGTGTTTGTCTTTTACTCGTTTTACAGTCTAGTGGTCTTGTTAAATTACTCCCATTGATTAAGTATTTTTGTACGGACATAACTTACCAAGTTCTTGAGACCCCATAACCTCTTGTCTCTTATGGGCTTTATTAGTTACATATGATATTCTTTTGGGGAAATGCTCTTTCCACCCTTATATGAGCATACCACACCCTTGAAAATCTAAATTTTCCATTCAAGCGTTCGAAGATGCATCTCTAAATGCACCCAAAATCACGCCAATATTCTCTTTTCTGAGCTTCACCCCAGTGTTAAAAAAATGGTCTAGAGATGCATCTCAGTATACTGTTTGGGTGTATTCGGAGATGCATCTTCGAAATACCCCATGCACTCATTTATGAGATTTTGTT